GTTAAGACTCTTGTCATGACCATGTGGCTAGACTATGTGACTAGACTCAAGCAAAGACTAAGTTAAGACTTCACGTATATGCATTAAACTGGACAGACTGTGGTATTTTAGTCATAACTTTTAATCTTTGACTCTGATTGGGATGAAACCAACGCCAAATTTAAGAAAAAACTCGGGGCTACAGATCCATAGGTTTTACGACTCGTATTTCTTCCTACAACTCCGGCTATGACCAAAACAAGTTGACATTTGTGCAGTATACGGGAATAAAAATCCGGGTTGACTTAAAGGAACTATGACTCGATTTTAGGTATATTTATTAGCTCAAATTAATTAATTAAACAAAGTCCTTTAGTCATTAATCAGTTTATTTAGTCTTAACACAAGTCAAACAAACGGTTAGGAAAAATACATAGAGTATGCACAACCAATAATGCACAATTAGTCAAGTAGGCACAATATGATGCAATGAGTTTGCAACCTAACCATGGCTCTAGTTCTCTAAAGTTCGGGATATGGTTTAGTCAATAGAGGGTCCATGGTTAATTGTCCGAATGCACCGCGCGGAAGCCTAACCGTGAAGGGTTGTCGCGAGTGGATAGGACACCGCGAGTTTAGAAAAACTCGCTTCCATGGTTTGGTGAATTCAACATCTCGGATGTACCCTTTGTTGCACGGAGCGTTCAATCGGGTAGATGGAGCATGAATTCCCAGAGGGTTATGTCCATATGTAGAAAACATATGGGTTTCAGAAAAGTGAGGAAAAAATTCAATCAGGAAGTAGGATCGAGCAAACAATACGAAAAGCCGGTCGAAATTAGAACGCATATTTCTGGCTCGGTATTGGGGGAAATTGGCGCCAGCAAACAGAGACTGGCGCCAGCTTTTAACTGTAGCGCCTGGCGCCAATACTGGTGTCTGGCGCTACAACTAAAATGATGGCGCCAAGCTCTGGCCCCTGACGCTACTTCCCACATGCCTCAGCAGCTTTCTGTGCTCGATAAAATTTTCCAGTTTCGCGCGGTGTTATTTCTGTCCTAGTTGTGAAAGATATTTCTCAAATTTCCTACGTGTAAAATCCTATGTTTTTAACTCATTACGGATGGTCTTTCCAATGAGATCTTTTTTATGCATATGACAATAATGTTAATCAAAATTACGCACATGAAATACTTAGAACTTTTGGAGTCTCATCCACTCATTCTAAATCATTGCCGAAACAAATTCAAGAATTAAAATAGAAATCCTCCCCAGTGGAGTCGCCAAAAAATTGTAGGGAATAATTCATGCCTTAATTCCACTAGCTTAAACCCCACTGTGATCATACACTAAAGTACCGGTCCAAAAGGGAAGAAGATAGAGAAAAAGAGTCGCCAACAAGTTTTTTTAGGAACTTGTAAACCGTTCATAGGATGAAGGTTACACCCCTTAACGATCCAAGAGATCGTCAACTCCATAAGGTCTAGAACCAAATAAGGGTTCGGGGATGATGGTACAAATCCAACCTAAAAGAGATTGAATCTGCCCTAATAATAAGCCTCTACTTTATTCTGATCGTATTCATGTGCACTTCCTGATTAACATGCAATCAATAGGTTAACCCTAAACCTGTTTATCTATGTTGGTTGAATATTAATAATGCACAAATAAATCTATTATTGGCGATCACTTGAATTTATAACCAAATTAACCCTAAACAAGATTATTAATTATCTTATTAAGCGTGATTACAAGTACAAATTCCCTTTAAACATGCAATAAAGGTGATCAAGCAATAACAAAAAATATCAAGCAACATAATAAATAATCATAAATAATAATCATCATAATAATAATAATATTAATCATAATAATTATAGCAATCAGCCAAAAAGATAAAATTAACAAAATAGAGTCTGGCGCACGCAAAACGAGGTTGGCGCCAGGCATTGGCCATTGGCGCCAGGCGCCAATGGCTAGCACCAGGCGCCAGGTCTGGTTCCAGGCGCCAATGCCTGGAGTCAAGCGCTTAGCTTGTTTTTAACGCGTTTTTGTTTTTATCATATCTTTTGATCCAGAAGTCTAAATAAGGCATATAATATGTCGTTGGAAAGATCTTAAAGTCTACTTTCCAAAACAATTAAAATCAGATTAAAATATTTTTTAGATAAAAATATATGGCCAAAATAGTGGAAAGATGTTAGTTTTGGATAAAGTTTCATGTCTCATTCATATCTTTTTCGTTATAACTCGGATTTAATATTATAATATATCATTGGAAAGATAATTTCAAGATATATCTAACCATGTAAAATTTGGATAAATATTATGAGGCACGAAAATAAAATCTGAATACATTCCACTTCGTACAAAACAAGGATTCTTAAAAGGAGTAGTTTTATTCAATTTCAAACTCTTTAAAACATAATTATCAATCCTAACTCTATTAGGATTTAAAAGAACCTCCTAGAGTATTCTAAAAGACTATAATCAATCCTAATAGATTTATGAATAATAATTAATAATAGGCCCTCCTCTAAATCATTGGGCCGCATATAAAAAACCAAATCGGGCCCAGTTTAGTATTTTGGCCATAACTTCCTCGTTATTCATCGGAATTGGGCTTATAATATATCGTTGGAAAGGTCTTTTCAAACCCCATCCAATTACACCATTATTGGATCCTTATCATGGACCAACCAAACTGTATTGACTATTTTTTAAAAATAAGTTTTCAAAAACAGAGAGAAAAGAAAAGAAATTAAAACTATCCGCAACGCTAGACTTTCCACACTTTCACTTCATTCAATTATGATTCGACGCGAAAGGTACTCATCACTGGTTTTGGTTTTGGGGAGACACAAATGGGTGTCTACACATACAATCCTAGCAATCCATCCTACCTATTTCCATGGAGAATTTCATGCCCTTGTTGAATTTAATCAAACCATCTAATCTCAACTTCCATTGATAAATAAGATACTTGGTTCAATCAATATCAAATTACGTCTAACCTAACATTGATAAATTAGCACAATTCAATAAGCAAAGCAATTAATCTAATTAAATAATGAATTGGGGGAAATCATGCATTACTCATAACTAGGGTTCAACCTAACCCTAGAATATAAATCTACTCACTCGTGATTAAATTAACAAAATAATCAAAAGACATACTAATATAGGAAAGAAGAAATACTTGAATTAATGGAATTGAAGATGAAATCTTGAACAAAGTAAATGTAAAATTGAAGGGAATTGTAGAATTCTTCAACTCAATTGAACGAATCCAAAAACAAGACCTCTAATATGCCTAGCCAAAGCCTATTTATATCCCTAGGAATAAGTAAAGAAGTTTCCTAAAATAGGTCTTCCAAAACGCCTCAAACTTGGCTTTGATGCTTCGTCAGGTGATAGCCACGGGTTACCCAAAGCTGCTGGGACTTTGCCATGGCCAACCCGTGGTGTATACTGATCTTGGTAGTCTTCTCTTGGGCATAAAAGGAGGAGCCACGACCAGGCCAAAGCTTAATGCAACAAGCCACGACCAGGCCAAGGCTAGGCAATTTCTACACAATACTCCTTCAAAAGCAACTTCAAGCTTGGAATGTGACCATATGATGTTGGGCTCGTAATCTCCTACACGCTCCTAGCTCACTTAGCTTGCAAAGGTGCTTTTTTACGCGTAAATCCTACAAAATAAAGAAAGAGAGCACGAGGAGAGCAACGTCGAAATATAAAGAAATATAGATCTAAAAGATTAAATATATAGAGAAAATATGATAGAAACACTCAAATATAACATATAACAATGAGTATATAAATGTGTTATCAAATTCCATCCCACACACGTCAAACAGCTCGACCTCGAGTATGTTATTGAGTGGCATCTCGTGCTTCCTTGAAATATTACCAGTCCGTTGACAACGATCACAAACCCTTACATATGAGTACACGTCCTTGAACAAAGTGGGCCAGTAGAAACCACATTGTAAAATCTTCGCGGCTGTTTTTGTAGGAACTGCATGTCCACCACAAGGTAAGTCATGGCAATGAGAAATAATTTTGTTTACCTCACCTTCCGGAACACATCTTCTTATCATTGCATCCGCACATAGCTCATAGAGGAATGGATCGTCCCAAAAATGTCGCCTTGCCTCATAAAAGAATTTCTTCTTTTGTTGAGATGAGTAACCATGGGGCAATGTACCTGCGGAAAAATAATTAGCTAAGTCAGCATACCAAGGTGATTCAATTTGAGAAAGTGCTAATAAATGTTCATCAGGGAAAGAATCATCAATGGGGAGGTCATCTCCATCCCCCTTATCGAGAAGGAGGCGAGAAAGGTGGTCTGCTACGACATTCTCAGTCCCTTTCGTGTCCCTTATCTCGATGCCATAATCTTGCAACAAAAGGACCCATCGAATCAACCGCGGCTTGGCGTGACTCTTAGTCATCAAATATTTTAATGCAGCGTGATCTGTGTGAATTATCACCTTCGAACCAACAAGGTATGAGTGAAACTTCTCTATTGCATAAATTACTGCTAGCATCTCTTTTTCAGTTGTGGCATAATTCATTTGAGCAGAATCAAGTGTTTTACTAGAGTAATAAATAGCGTGAAGTTTTCTATCCTTCCGTTGCCCCAAGACGGCCCCTATTGCATAGTCACTAGCATCACACATAATCTCAAATGGTAGGGTCCAATCCGAGGGTTGCATAATGGGAGAGGAGATCAATGCTTCCTTCAACCTGTTAAAAGCCTCAAGACAAGCATCAGTAAATACAAATGTGGCATCCTTGGCCAAAAGCTCAGTTAGAGGTCTAGCGATTTTCGATAAATCTTTAATAAATCGCCTATAAAATCCTACATGATCAAGAAAACTCCGAACTCCTTTTACAGAATTCGGAGGGGGTAGGCGCTCAATGACCTCTATCTTTGCTTTATCGACCTCAATACCCTTATGTGATAAAACATGGCCTAGAACAACTCCTTGTTGTACCATAAAATGACATTTTTCTCAGTTTAAAATTAAATTGACTTCCTTACATCTATGGAGCACCTTTTCCAAATTTTCAAGACATACATCAAAAGATGTTCCATGGACAGAAAAGTCATCCATAAATACTTCCATTGAATTTTCAATAAGACCTGAGAAAATTGCCATCATACAACGTTGGAACGTGGCTGGAGCATTACATAAGACAAATGGCATTCTTCGATAGGCGAAGGTGCCATAGAGACATGTGAAAGTGGTCTTTTCCTGATCACATGGACGAATGGGAATTTGAAAGAAACCAGAATATCCGTCCAAGTAGTAGAAAAAGGAATGCTTAGCCAAACGTTCAAGCATCTAATCAATAAAGGGGAGGGGAAAATGGTCCTTACGGGTGGCCTTATTCAACCTCCTATAATCAATACACATTCGTCAACCTGTAATAGTTCTGGTAGTGATTGGCTCACCCTTGTCATTCTTGACAACGGTCATACCCCCTTTTTTGGAACTACTTGTACAGGGCTAACCCATTTACTATCTGACATAGGGTAGATTATTCCTGCAGCAAGCAATTTAAGAACCTCTTTTTTAACTACCTCCATCATATTTGGATTAAGTTGTCTTTGAGATTCTATGGAGGAGGTATGATCGTCCTCAAGAATTATCTTATACATACAAAATGAAGGATTAATACCCTTAATATCATCAATGGTGTACCCAATAACACTTTTATATTTTCTCAAAACAATGAGCAGTTGCTCTAAATTCGTGTCATTAAGCTCAACATTAACAATAACAGGATATGTATTATTAGGACCAAGATATGCATATTTAAGAGTAGAGGGAAGGGGTTTCAACTCTACCTCGGGAGGCGTAGTACTCTCCCCGACACTTGATACACTAAGGACTTCTTTCAGTAGAGCAGTGGTTGGATTTGCTTTTCCTTCCTTAAGTAGCCGCGTGTACTCCCTTGTTTCCCAATCTTCCTCATTGATGCTTCCCACCAACACCGTTTCCAGTGCATCATCTGTCTTGATCAAGGGAAGTTGCTCACGTTCTAAGTCATCAAGGACATCCACTTGGCAGATAGTTTCTCCCACGGAAGGAGTTCCCATAGCATTCAAGAGTGAATACTCCATTTTCTCGTCTCCCACCTCGAAAGTGATTCTTCCATTCTTCATATCAATGATTGCACCAGCAGTGGCTAAAAATGGTCTACCAAATATAATAGGGACATGTGCATCCTCCTCCATTTCCATCACAACAAAATTGCATAGGATAAAGAATTTTCCCACGCGAAGAGGAACATTTTCAAGTATACCCAAGGGAAACTTCACCGACCTATCCACAAGTTGTAGAGACATGCACGTAGGCTTTAATTCACCCATTTGAAGTTTCTTGCAAATAGAGAGCGGCATGAGACTCACACTTGCACCAAGATCACATAATGCCTTGTTGATCTCAATATCCCCAAGCTTCACTGGAATTGAGTAGCTACCCGGATCACCTAATTTCTTAGGAAGTGTATTTTGCAAAATAGCACTACACTCTGCATTCAACACAACAGTAGCATTCTCCTCTAGCTTCTTCTTGTTAGAGAGCATATCCTTCAAAAATTTTGCATAAGATGGCATCTCGGATATTGTATCTAAGAATGGAATGTTGATGTGAAGCTTCTTCAAAATATCAAGAAATTTTCCATACTTCTTCTCTAACTTAGCTTGAGCCAACCTTTGCGGGAAAGGAACTTGCGGCACATATGGAATAAGTGGTGGTGGAGTTGATGCCTTTGGCTCATCCTCAATCGCAGTACCATCGACCACCTTCTCTTTTGAGACTACCTCATCAACAACCTCCCTTGATGGCTCCCTCGTAGGAGGATCTTCCAACTACTTTCCACTCCTCAAAATCACAGCATTCATATGCCCCTTCGGTGGTTGCTCTGTTTGACCCGAAAAAGCGCCCAGAGTCTTCAAAGATTGGCCAACTTGATGAGAAAGTTGACTTATTTGGTTTTCCATGAGCTTGTTCTGAGCTTGTAGTTGTTGGATGTTGTTGTTCGTTGTGGTAACGAAGTTCTCAAGCATTAACTCAAGGTTGGATTTTTGTGGAGGTGGTTGCATAGGTTTTTGGACTAGAGGTGGTCTTGCTTGGAAGCCAGGTGGTGCATTATAATTGTTATTTTGAGGTGGTGGTGGAGGTGGATTTTGTTGAGCTTGGGTATTCTTGTAAGAGAAATTTGGATGATGTTTCCAACCTTCATTATATGTGTTTGAATGAGGATCATATGGCCTTTTGGGATTTAAAGTGTAGAATGCATTGGCTTCCTCAATCGTCATCTCATGTGAATTTTGTGGACAAGCAGGGGCAATGTAACCTTGTACATTACAAATTTGACAAGTTTCAGCAGATGAGCCAGAAGATGTTGCTTGGAACTTGTCAAACTTGCTTGTCAATGCCTCCATAGAGCTAGTTAAAAGGGTTAGAGCATCAACATCATGCATACCTCCCTTTTTAACATTACGTTGTCCTCCTGGATGGTAATTATCATTTGCCGCCATCTTCTTAATTAGCTCCTTTGCCTCAGTTGGGTTCTTAGTCAGAAGAGAACCCCCAGATGCAGCATCAATATAGATTCGGAACTCATGAGTTTAACCATTGTAAAAGGTTTGGATCAACATCCATTCAGGAATACCATGGTGAGGGCATTGTCTCTGCAATCGCTTGAACCTCCTCCATGCTTCATATAAGGACTCATCATCTGACTGCCCGAAAGAAGATAGCTCATTTCTCAACCTTGTAGTCTTTTCCTGTCCCAAGAACTTGACTAGAAAATCTTTCACCAGTTTGTCCCATGTGTCAAAAGAGTTAGTACCTTCATCTCTCAACCGTTCCTTCGCTCTATCCCGTAATGAGAAAGGGAAAAGGCAAAGTCTAATAGCATCATCTGTAACACCATTTAGTTTCATAGTATCGCACTTCTCCAAGAAACTATCAATGTGACTAACAGGGCATTCGTGAGGTGTGCCTGCAAATGAATCATTAGAGATGAATTGAATGAACTGTGGCTTCAATTCAAAGTTCTGAGCAGTAACGGGTGGTCTGACAATGCTGGAGAGGAGTCCCGTTGTGGTATCAAGAATTCCATATTCGAAAAGAGACTTTCTTCCTGGATCTACCATGTTTCTAAGGTTTTGATTTCTCCTTCTTCTACCTCTTTGTCTCCTTGCAGTTGCTTCAATTTCAGAATCAAGTGGAATTAAATCGTCCGGCCCTAAACGTCGAGTTTGCATGCAACAAAGAACTAAAAGAAAAGAAATTAAGAACACAAGAGACAATAGCCGAAGCAACAGATAAAAGCTTAGTAAAAACGAATCACAAATAACTAGTATAAAACCGTTAGTCCCCGGCAACGGCGCCAGGTAGTTTTTCGCAAAATTCAAAGTATAAAAGGTAGTTTTTCACAAAATATCCATAATAATAATAATAATAATAATAATAATAATAATAATCATCATCATCATTATAAAAATCATCATAACAATAATAATCATAACAAAAATAATAATAACAATAATAATAATAACAATAATAACAATAACAATAATAACAATAACAATAACAATAATAACAATAACAATAATAACAATAATAATAATAACATAAGAACAATAATAATAATAATAATAATAATAATAATAATAATAATAATAATAATAATAATAATAATAATAATAATAATAATAATAATAATAATAATAATAAGAAGAAGAAGAAGAAGAAGAAGAATAAAAATAAGAATAATAATAACAAAAATAACAATAACAAAAAAAATAATAATAATAACAATAACAATAATAACAATAACAATAACGATAACAATAACAATAATAACAATAACAATCATAATAATTATTGTTATTTTTATTAGGAAAAATTGACGGGAAAAATCTCAACTTTGTTCGATTCGCTTAAAACAATCCAACCTTTCGATTATTTTTTAATAATCCGAACTTTGATATGAATTTGCTTTTAATAGTCCCAGATGACCGGTAACCTGTTGAGTAGATAATTTTGTTTTTTTATAGATTTAATTTACACACGTCACCACGTGATTGGTCAATTTTTTTTATATAATTATTTTAATGTTTGTAAAGAAACATGATTATTTTTCACTAATCAACCCTTAATTATTTATTCAATAAAATTAACAATTAATTATATCTTATAAAAAAATTATGTACTACACTTAATTAACTCTCTTAAAAAAAATTAACACTTAATCACTTAATTTAAAATTAAATAATTAAAAAATACAAAAGTTTGATGTTGTAAAGTACAAACCAGAAACCACGCCAGCCACCATTTCACCAACACCAACTAGTCAGCGACCCAGCCACCTCCACCCTACCTCCAGGTCACCAACACCTACCCGTCCACCTCCACCACCACCACCCTACCTCCCCAACCCAATACCCAATCCTACCACAACCACCGTAACCCAAGAGGCATCCAAGAACAGTGGCTAAAGCATAATCAACGGCGCGGTCGGAAGGCAGAGAACAAGCTGCCATGGAAGAAATTGATGTCGGGCGGCGCTTGGAGGGAACTGAGGGAGTGGAGAAGGGCAGCGGCGGCTGACTTGATAGTGGGTCGTTGGTTTTAAAGGATTATGTGAGGGTTGGTGGTTCAGAGGGTGGGATGGTGCGTCGTCGCGGGAGGAGAGGTTTTGGGCGTCGCCGGAGTTGGAGGCAGGGGGTCGGGCTAGCTGTGATTGGCGGAGATGGTGGTTGGGGCTGCTGGGGTGGTTTTTTTTTAATTATTTAATATATTTTTTTTATCATATTTAATACTCTTTTTTTTTTTAATTTTTTCTAAAAGAAATTAAATTTATTTTTAATTTTTATTTTTTGACCAATTAGGTGCCGACACGTGTCATTAAACTTGTTATAACAAGTTAAGTGACCGGTTGGGACCATTAGAAGCAAAGTGATATTAAAGTTCGGATTATTAAAAAATAATCGAAAGTTGGGATTATTTTGAGCGAATCGGCCAAAGTTGGGATTATTCCCGTCAATTTTTCCTTATTATTATTGTTATTATTTTTATGAATATTACCTTGATCGTTGCACACAAGTACGGAACTCCTAATTCATAATAATGATAACAATAACAACAATAATATAAATAATAACAATGATAACAACAACAACAATAATAAAAATAATAATAACCCGATCCTACAAAGCCAATAAATTTACAAGAAATCAGTGGGGAGCTGAGATACAATCTGGGCTCCCACTCCTCTAGCTATAGTGAACCCGATCCTACTAAAGATGTGAGCAGCTGCACGAGCACATATATCCTAAGTCCTTGCAAACACCTGAACCCGCTTCAGCAACGAAACAACATCATTTTCTAATTCCCCCAAAGAAGAAAAGGAGAAAGGAAGAAAACAATAATCAATAGCCCTACAACGCACCCTATACTTGTCCTATTTCCGTTGTGCAACAACTGACACAACACGACTAGGAAAAAATTCAGACAACCCTGATTATGTCAAAGGAGAAGATCCCGTCAAGTCAACACACACATCAAGGCCCCTATCCCAAGATTAAAGCAACATATCTGCAGGTCGTAGAGCCTCATCGTTGCCTCTAATCAACCCAACGTTAACCTCCTTTTTCACAGAAATCCTTGACCAAAAACAAATATCAACAAGGGTGTCACGAACAACATTATGCCGATGTTTAATACCCACCATCCTAGCACAGGACAGTGCATGATCTCCCCCAATCTGTACAAAGATTAAAACGGTAAGCCTTACTATTCATTGTCTGACCTAACCCCCATATTGGAACCGGCCGCAACAAGGCACAAGAGTGATCCCCCTGCTGGGATTTCCATTTATTATTATATCTTAAAAATATATAAAGTTATACAACCTATAGAAAATAAGTGGGAAGCCGAGATACAATCTAGGGCCCCAGTCCTCTAGCTATAGAATAGCTTATCCTAGTAAAAATGTGAGCTTAACAAACCCCAATGTCCTGAGTTGTCTTGAACTTCTGAACCCGCTTCTACAACACAACATCCTCCTTGTCTTATTCTCCAAGTGAAGAAAAGAAGAAGGAAATGAATCCATATCCAATTGTGCGATAACTAGAATCATATTCGACCCACTTTCAATTAGCTACATCAACCACATCTCCTCCAAGAACAAAGTCAGATAGCCCAGATTGTGTCAAACGAGAAGACCCTGTCGAATCAACACAGACATCATGATCACAATCTCAGGAATAAAGTAATACATCTGCGGTCTAAGGGCACCGTGATTCCCTCTAGACAACCTAATGTTAATCTCCTTTCTCGCTGAAATCCCAAACCTATAGAAAACATCAACAAGCGTATCCCGGACAACATTATGCCGATGTTTGATACCCACAATACCAGTACATGACACCGTGTGATCACCAAAAATATCCCCTATAAAAACCCTTGAACAAGCAGACCACGGCGTCGAGACATTAAACAATGGAACACCCAACCGGTAGCACAACACACATCGGTAAATCTTTGTGTTCATCGTCTGACCTAACCTTGAAATAGGAACCGTCTGAAGCCAAGCAGGGGTGTGATCTCCCTGCTGCGATTTCCACAATGCTAATTGTCGAGGAGATAAAGAAAAAGCGAATTATTATTATTATTATTATTATTATTATTATTATTATTATTATTATTATTATTATTTATTATAATTATTATTATTATTATTTATTATTGTTGTTATTATTATTATTATTATTATTATTATTATTATTAGGCAAATTTGTCAACAAAAACCTTTTAAAAGCACCCTTTTGTCAAAAAATAACCTTTTACAAGTTTTTTAGTTAAAAAAAACCACAACCTCAATTTTTTTGCAAGGAGAAACCTGTTTCACTAATTGTCCTCTAATTCACTTAATTAGTCTCTTATTTTGTTTTCTTTCTTTTAATCACTCTCTAACCCACCTATTTTTGAGTAATGATTAAATTAAATTAAAAAAAAAACCTACCACCTCCCAACCACTAGCCAACCACCACCTCCCAACCACTAGCCAACCATCCCCACCCCTATTGGACCCGCCACCAGATCCCCCACCACCAGCGATCTACCTCCACCATCGGTCGACCATCCCTTTTTTCCTTATCCCTGGCAGCGACCACCACAAGTAAGCAATTTTCAATTTTTGGCTCTAAATTGCTCAAATCAAGTCCAAATCAATTGAAATTTGCTTCCAAATTATCCTACCATCATATACATATATAATCAAAGCCAAAATAAACATCAATTGCAAGCAAGATGCACAAATTTAGAAACCCCCAAATCGATTTTTCTAGGGTTTATGGACAAATTAAAATTGCAAAGTTCAAGCACATTATAAGATAAAATCAAAGCAAAAATGAATTGATTGTGTGCGAAAACTTGATTTGAAGCTTCCAAAAAGATCCTAGCAAATTTGGGTTGTGTGTTTGAGAGTGTTTGAGGGAGAAATGAAAGGTACATCTTCGAAGGGAGG